TTTTACTTGTGAATTTCTCGATAGGACTTTAATCATAGATATTTGCTTTACGAAATACAACTGCGTCAGTAATTGAATACAGCGATGTTGTTTGTATAAGAGCGACATAATTTTGGCGGTAACTTTCAGCGCGACAACTCAGGATTTGTCACTCGGTTGTGCGGCGCGCAGTTGTGTGTGCAAATATAACGCTAATTAATATCCATAATTAAGGTTCGGTGTTGTGTGCGCTCATTTACATATCTCCATTCGCTTTGTTACGTCGACGTTTCGTCGGAGCGAGGCGTTTATGTTATGGTAGTCAGCTAATCGAGAGGACTGTCTATATCCAGTGGATTTTTCAATCCTCCGCGTGGTTCGTAACAGCAACGAAGCATTGAAGATACAGACGATTTGCAATCAAATGTATTTGACAAACATTGTCTACTTATATCGATAAACCTTGCAACAACTTTAATTTCTTACGTATCGATCTCCGTGTGGCGATTCCACTATGATAGTTTTCTAAGTCGTTTTCTAAGTCGTGGTTAACATTTTCTACGTGTACCAACTCAAAGTTAAAACCGCTACAATTTTGTTGTTTTTTTTTATTTGAAAAGTTGCCAAACGAACAGACGGTTCACCAAATGTTAAGTGAATATCGCCGCCCATGGACATCTGCTACACTCGAGAGTTCCAGATGTGTTGACAACCTTTTGGAAATTGGGCTCCGGCCACCTCATTCACCAGACGTAACGCGAAAGCATTATACTTCCATTCTACGCCGGTCTTCTGTGAGGTCTTGGTTCTGAGCCTGTCCATTCGTGCAACAGCCGAGGCTGCTGCGTGGCCCTAACACCGTATTAATAAAAAAGCTTTTGGTTTAAAAGGAATAATAAATTGGATTAATACGTTTTGTACGCTCTATCTACATATGTTCACTTATAGACGATAACAGTATTCGCTTAATCAATTCATACAGGAAAATGTGTTAATGTGGGCTTAAGTCATAACCGAAGTGACGCGTCGATCAAATTGACTGACTTCGACCCAAACGCAATTATGACGAGCCTCCATACGACATGTAGTGCTAGATATCACCAAGATGCGGAGCCAACTAAATTTCAAAGAACTCGGTACTTTCGATTCTCCATTAAACACACCTCGGGTCGAAAATACGATATGCCGAGTACCTAAAGGTCGATTTGGATTCCGGCAATGCGCAATCGTTTGAAAGTGCAAAACATACTAATTTCGCCCTCTAATCTTCGGGAATTAAGTCATTAAGTAAATGATGAAAACTATATAGCCCAATTTTCAAAAGGTTGTCAACGCATCTGTAACCCTCGGGTGTGGCAGATGTCCATCGGCGCCGGTATTCACTTAACATTAGGTGAACCGTCTGCTCGTTTGGCAACTTTTCGCATAAAAAAAAAATATATGCCTTGAGGGAGACACACTAATCGTGTCATGGCATAGTTTTAGAACTAGTCCCTGCCCTTAAAGTGAAAATTAAAAATGTGTAGATAGAACTATTGAAACTTTTTGCTGCTTGGATTCAAACCTGCGCTTTCCAGATTACACGTCCGGACACTAGCGACTAAGCTAAGCGTTCGACAGTCATTTGTTTTGTAACCGCATAGGTCCTATATAAATGACCAGAGTAAAAAACGAGATATTTTTATTTTATAAAAGTAATCGATTGCTTTCTTTTCTCTTCTTCATTATTTCATTTAATTACATGGAGGATAAATAATGTATTTAAATCATATGATGACTCCGTGGCGCAGTTGCTAAAGTATTGGCTTCGGCGTCGGGGGTCGTGGGTTCGATTACCACACGGGACAACTATTTGTGTGACCCACAGATAGTTGTTTCGCATCTGGGTGTTTGTCCGCGTGAAATTTATGTTTGTAAAACGTCCTTACAACACAGGATAATATTATCCTAAAGTAAGGGCAGTGTTTTAACACATAACATTTTTAAATTTTTTAAATTTAAATCATGTATTTAGTTAAAAAAAAACTCAAGACAAAAAAACAAAAAGACACAAATGAATGAAACTGCAATATCTCCATTTGAAAATTTAGAACTTTTGCAATTTTATCCCACAAACATTTATTTTAGTGTTGTAATAAATTTTAAGATGTGAAAAGATCCTTTCTAACTGGATTGCAAGGCGTAAGCCCAACAGCTTTTAGCGTTTCTCACCGAACAAAGCTCATCCGTAGGGACCTTTGTGATTCGAATGGAAACGGTTGAAGCTGAAATTTCCAATCTTGCACATTCTCAAGAACCACGGTTTGAGCCTTTTTTGCTGATTGAAAACGTAAACGTTTGTTCGCGTGTCGAATCACAACGACTGGATTTATGAAATCAATGTTTGAATACACTTAAATTTCACGATATTCTGTTTTAAAGGATATTAATTTTTTTAGGTAGTTTTATGGTAGGGCCACGCAACAGTCTTCACTGTTGCACGAATTGGCAGGTCCGTCCGGGGGAAAGGTGTTGCAAATGTCCATGGATGGTGGTTGTCACTTACCATCAAGTGAACCGCCAGCTAGCTTGCCACCTTATCACATAAAGAAATAACGAGACACAGAAATAGTACGTAGGCAACGAATTTACAACACTTTTACGGTTACGAACGTAGTGACACCATGACGGTGATCACTAAGATTAGGTTGGCAACGAGTTTGTCACTTTCTTTACATAAACCCGATAAGCGACCGACCCGCTTCACGCTCGCTTTAATGCCCACGTGGTACCATGGATTTCTTCCAATTACGTTGGCAGGGGCGAAGTTTGAATGACAAAGTGGAAGCTACCGACGACGAGGTTTTTATTGTCGTCCCTAATGAAAGTTATATCGGGAGTGGAAATTGGCGGAAGTGTCGCCGAGGCGTTTAATTGTACGGAAAGCGCCCGATAACGGTGGGCCGTTTTCCTTTTTTTTTAACGGACCCCAGGAGTGAAGTGTCGGACTATTATTGGGATTTTGTCGAGGGAAGAGAGGTCAGGCGCGTTTTATGTACCCCTAGTTGTGTCTCGCTGTGGCACTGTCTATATGGTATTTGTAAACTGATCAGAATATTATTAAGTTGTTAAAAAAGTTAAGAAATGTATGTACGTTGAACCTTTCTAAAGTGATAAATCGTTGCCAGTTAACCTTAGTTGTATGTAATTAAGATTTTTCTCTACATCAGGCTCTTTTTAAATTTCCCACCCCAATTGATATAAAAACTCGACCGAACATTGTTTTCTACTGAAAAAAGAATCATAAAAATCATTAGTAATTTCCTAGTAATGATCAATAGTCGTGCCTGAGGATTGAAGACTGAAGAGAAGAGTTAGCTCGATTTTGTTGCTGATATCTTAAACATTCGGCATTTCGCAGATAGCAGTAATACATCTTGAACGCAACGCAAATTGATTATTTTCACACCAATATGTTGGATCGTTAAAGTTCCATAGAGGCAATTATATCAAAAAAATACTCTCACTCATAAAATTTCCATAGCAGCTGCGGTGAAATATCACAGACAAATGATATCGGAGAAATTGTTATAGGCAATTTTAATAATTCTGAAACTGATTCAATGGTCGATACCGATCCGACTCCTAGCTAATTAAATACTGATTGGATTGATGTTGAGTAAATATCTTCCGGCGGAGCGGTTTGAGAGTAAAATAACAGGCTTACTCGAGCGGTTTGGCTATTAGAAGTTCCTGGAAACGTTCTGAATTCCTTTTATTTACCAGCTATAATTTTCACGTTTAGGTTGGGCAAAATTTCGCAGCTCTCTCTTAAAATGATAACGAATGGTTGATAACTTATCCTATCAATAATTTGCAATTCAATTTTAACTTTATTTGAGACAAATGAAGTCCGTTTGAAAGAAAACGTAACTCTTCAACGCACACAATAGATATCGCTAATCCTGGTAATATCGCAATACGTTGTCTTTATAGCTAACTCGTCCATCACCGTGCTGAATCCAATTAATCCTTCCACTCGAATCGAGAAGGGAAAGTGTTTAGCTCAATATTTTCCAAACCCCCCGCTATTGTCGTCTCTGATCGCTACATTAAACTTGATAAACGGCCATTTAATTCCCAATCAGATTGTTAAATCATAGCCATGAACGTTTACGCCCAAGTTTTGAGTTCGACTCAGCGTCCGCAGAGTCCATTGCAGACGAAACAAAGAAAGCCATTGTTGGATAACGAATATTCCGGCAGCATTTTCGGCTGTTTTAATTTCATCCACCAACGCCCCTCCACTTTGTTCCGAAGTTCTGTGCACGAAGCTGGAAGTCGTTGTTTCAGTACTGGTGGTAGTTTTGACGTTCGTTAGAGTTTGGAACAAGCCTAAATGGAATAAAGAAAGCTTGTCTTTTTGTTTTAGATTTTTACAAAGCACCAAAAATAATAGGGACTGCGAGTATAATGCATCTATTAAAGAAACGACTTCAATGTCCGAGAGATTGTTTTGTGGTCTATAATTCGTACCTTCGATATAAGGATTAGATGCTCTTATATCCAACTACATACATGCAACCACAGATAGGAATAAGGAATAAATATTAATAAATAAATTAAAGTAACAAATGAAACGGTTAACAATTACAAATTTGCTGAGTAACAGTCTTGTCACTGCGTAGTACAAAATAAAGTCGTCCCGCTGTCTGTCTGTCCCTATGTATGCTTAGATCTTTAAAACTGCGCAACGGATCTTAATGCGGTTCTTTTTTACTAGATAGAGGATGAGGATGATTCAAGAGGACGGTTTATATCTATAATACATTGCACCCGTGCGAAGCCGGGGCGGGTCGCTAGTTGTAAACTAAAAAGAAATTATTCCGCTTCACATTCCATAGACACATTTAACATCAATTGCAAATATTTTCTTTGTCTATAGTGAAACCGTTCCGTCCTTAGGTCCTTGAATGTGAGTGTCATTGTTACTTTGTCTTCCTACACTGTCTTGGATAATTTCGAGCCGAGATCAATGGTTACGCGGCCCTGGTCTTTGCGCCATCCGTGCCGTCTCCTACTGTCAGGGTCACTGGCGCGGGATGCCCGACACCATTGCACGGAAGCTAAAATAAAAACACGCCCTCGGAAAATCTGGCAATGAGCCAGTGTCCCTGCTTGAAGCGACGCCGACGCTAAAATAAAGAAGAAAGAAAGAAAGAAAATAAATTTATTTACCAAAAAGGACGCACACAACAAAAAATAAAAATAATACACACTAGAATAAACAAAACAAAACAAAATCTGCAGATAAAAAAAACTATAGCGATATAAAAACAATCAATTTAAGGGAAAAGAATTGTACCTAATATCGGTAAATTAGGTCAGCAGTTAGCATTATGATGTGCCGGAAGGCACAACCCCAACAAAGCGCTCATTTTCTGTGCTCACCTTCATACTTCACGATAGTTCGATGCCGTACTGACTCATACACAGCGATATAACTTCAATATTATATTACTTATGAAAAAATTAAGACGTAATACAAGAAAGACTAAAATATTAACAATTATTACTTGTTAACACGATGGCGACATCTTCTTCGCTTTTCGCAGCTTTCCGCGGGACGTGCACAATCGCATCTGTTATGTTACCTTGGCCTCGGAGACTTTCTAAGTTATTTATGGCCGAAGTGTTTTTGTTTATACGTTATAATATGTCAAACTTCTATCGAGGTTTTGTTTTGATCTGTTTGTGCTCTTATTCCGACTTATATCGTGTCTGAGATGCTATTGTTTCAATGTAATGTTTGCGATCTTTAATAAGTTATTTCGTTTTAATTACGTAAAACGAGACATAATGTTCGTCTACCCGTTTTTTAAACATTTTCATACGTTAGAACTACTAAAATTTGAATTGGCGTATGCTTAACTTATCTTACTTATATGCAACGTTGATACTGTTTAGATCGGTGTGATTTAGATTGATCATTATGGATCTTAAAATGAAACTAACTCATTATAACTAACTCGTAATAAAACAACCAACAACAAATTTCATCGTTAATGTTTTACATCAATTGCTCTTAACGTAACGTGCGATAAAGTCTCATCAAGTATTAATCAATTTTAAGTTGTATCAAAATATTAGTACTCCAATTAAAATTACCAGCACAATATACATATAGTAAATAAACCGGATTCAATTCTTTTTCCATAAGTCCTTTGCCTTTATTTATATAATCTTTATTACTGACCTTGAGTAAAACGGGTAACAAAGGGGGGAGACTTAATGCCCAAAGGCATTTCTTACCAGTTAAGGATGTGGTGAGAGCCTTTCTTCGCCGTCGAAATAATTTTCCATTAAATATTTCACATTATTTAAAAAAGTTAAAAACTTCCGCCATGCTTTTCTGTCTGCTCTTCTCTGACACCTTAATAATGTAACTACAATATGTGGGAACTAATATTTTCTTTAGAATTCATTACAGTCGTAATTGATTCCAGTCGATTTCTTCAATTACTTCTGCTGATACTTCCATTGTTCCTAATTTATTGCGTGTAACTATTCTCTTTTAAAGTATAAGGAATTTTCTAGTTACAACATAAACATGCTCGACGGATATTATTGCGAACATTTAATGATAATTGCAAACGGCGAACAGACGGACCAATTTGAAACAACGAAATACCGCTATTGGCGGCGTCACAACACAAAGCGGCGCGGACAGCGGCCCCAACGGCTGCCGATAGGGGGGCCAGACTTATCGATTTTGGGAGACTGTCTATACATATTAATTTAAACAGTCACGCCTGTCACCCACAATGGTTAGAGGTTACATGCCCTTTCGGTTTTCGGACATCCACATATTAACGCATGTATATGCGCTCGTCGGTTCCAGGTTCTCTAATACAGGTCTATGCATGGCCATAGTGTTTGAAGCCGAAATTGAATTTATTTTGAAAGATTTGGATCGGTTAATTCAAAATTTCATTCCGGTTGTTTCTGATACTATCGTACCACGATTTTTACCTAAATAAGAAAGTTCTGTACTTATATTTCTACTCGCATAATATTGTTTGTATATTGGGTATTAATCGATATTTCATTATTAATTAGATTAAGTTTTCTATCTCGTTTAGAGTTAGAATCAGTGTAAATTTTATCACGAACGCTTCTAGTAAATCCATTTTACCCATAATCTAGTAAATAAATAAATAATAATTACTATAAATGAATGCATATGTTTCACTACGAATGAATAAAAAATAAGTTAAGCTAATTCGTACTAGGTTTGGAACATGAAATGTGCTCTGGCTTTTATCAGAAATTCGTAACAGGGAAAGTGCATTAATTGCATTATTTGGTGAAGTACATGAAGCATCGAGTAACTCTGTCTTCTCTTTAAGGATTTACAAGTACAACATTATTATTAAGAAACAAAACAGAGTTCAAATATCTCACTCATGTACGTACATTTTCTATTTAATTTCGAGTTTAAAATTATATGGTACCATAATATGGAAGGTTAAATAAATCCGATGCAAAAAGGACTGAAATATTTTTTCTCACTTATTATTTCGAAAATATGCAGTTTTTCTCACGATGTTTTCCTTCACCGCTTAGCACGGGATACAGTGATCCTTACAATGGCCGTATAATCCGAGATACCAAATCAAAGTGCAATTATTTCGTGCAATCAACACACGTAAATATACCTGCACAAATCCATGTTATGAAAACAGCGCAGTCACCTCGGGCAGGGCGGTCTGGTGGGGGCGCCAGGGGGGCGGAAGTGACGAAATCTCCCGCCGCGTTGCCATGACGACCGCCATGTTTACCCCGTCATATCGATCGGCGGCACTGCGCTTCCCTGTTTACATCCCCGTCTATGCACATTGTACGGGGTTCGAAACTCCGAAAAGCCCTGGGGTGAATTAATTCAGCAGGTCCTGTGCTATTCACCTTTAGCTTCGTGTATTTGTGTGTATTTGGCGCGTCAAATGCTAATATACAGATCGCTTTTTGGGTTGGTAATGTTTTGTTTAGCGGTGAGACATGCTGGTTAAATTAAACAATTGTTTTCCTTTTAACTAACAAAATGAAAGATTAAATTGCGATCCTTTTTGTATCATCAGGTTGTCTTCCTATATTTTTTCTTTCATCTAAAGTTTCCTTTCTATAGAATTTAATATGTGAATGAAAACTATTAAAAATACTAAACTATATAAATAATAGTGTAATAAATTGAAATTTTGCAAAATGAATATAAAAGAGAGATTTTATTTGGATAAATACATAAAGTCCTACGTGTCTCATTATGTTGTCCTTATATTTTTTTTCTTTCACGGCTAATGTAACATACACTCGATGTTTGCCCAAGTGTAAACGGACCTTAATAATCGAGTACAATATAAGATACGCAGTCCTGCGTGGGAGGGACGACAATAGAGGCTCCATTTTCACGTGCCCCATGTTTATTTTTCGGGGCAACGAACCAAGCGTCGACATCGACACTCGCTTCGCTCGGATCCCTGTTCACGACTCGACGCTTATTTCGTCCATCGCTCGAATAATACATTAGTTAATGAAAGAAACTTATTGATACAGTAATATTGCTCGCCATGACAGCGGACGCTCCTTTAATTCAAAATACATGAGCAACCTGAGTTCAATCGGCGGTGGCGACCCCGATGAAATGGTTAGTTATAAGTGCTGTCTTATCACGCGCACAGCGGTGTAGGAAAACATCGTGAGGTAACCAGCATGTTTTCGAAATAGTAACAAAATAAAAAAATATTTCGAAGATATACGAAGTCCGCCAATCCATGTTCCGCGTGGTGGACTAGTTACTCTCACTAGTGGCTCGCATAAAGCTCTGAACCATGTAAAGACGACGGCGTTCGATTTTTAACGTTCACTTATAACATGACACATAACGTGTGTGTGTGTGTACTCTCACACGTGTAGATGTGAAACACGTAACCGCCATGTTACTACACCGCCAACGTTACCGCATACTTCGCGGATTTTCGCAACAGCAATGTTGCATTACTATAACGCGTTCATTCGACGCGCGTCGAGTCGTTTGACGGGCGTCGAGTCGTTTGACGGAACATTAGGGAGTATGGCGGCGTTGGTAGCACAAACTCTGTGGTTGCACGTCGCTAGAAAGGTGTGGAAACGCTCCCTTCAACGGTTTCTATTACGGCTTGGCACGGGTGCAAGTATTATACATATAAACCTTCCTCTTCAATCACTCTATCTAGTTAAAAAAAACCGCATCAAGACAAGTAGTTTTAAAGATCAAAGCATACATATGGAGAGAGGATATACAGAGAGACAGCGGAACGACTTTGTTAACCGACTTCAAAAAAAGGAGGTTTCTCCGTATATATATATATATATATATTATGTGTGTTCGGGGATAACTTCGTCATTTATGAACCGATTTTCATGATTCTTTTTTTGTTAGAAATGAGATATTCCAAGTATGGTACCGTGATAAGGAAACCCGGATCTGATGATGGCATCCCTGAGAAATCGAGGGCAATCCTCAAATGTTAAATGCGTTAACAATGTTTTTTTAGTTTCCTGTTTGAAGTCTGTTTTTTTTAACAAAATTGTTTTATACTATGTAGTGATTTCGCTTCTCGTCGGGAGTCGTGTTCATCTGAAGACGGAGGAATGGAATATTTTTGAACAGTCACCGTTTAATCCGTAAAGATTCGAAATGCCTGCATCGGTTTTGTAGAATGTAATATCACTACATAGTATAAAACAAAGTCGTCCCGCTGTCTGTCTGTCACTATTTATGCTTAGATCGTTAAAACTGCGCAACCGACCTTGATGTATTTTTTTAACTAGATGAGTGATTTAAGAGGGAGCTTTATAATATATATAATACATTGCAACCGAGCGAAGACTTACATGACGAATAACATGCTCGGGCTCAAAGATTATTGCTGTTATTAAAAGTAATGTATTTTAAAAAAAGGAGATTCCCAACTCAGTCTATATTTGAATGCAGACTTACTTACAGTTAGAAAGCTTTACATACTATACATTGTTTTGAAAAAAAAAAAACAAGTTTATTACATACAACTCTGATAATGTAGCTAAAAGAATTAAAGGTAAAGTAAAGTAGCCCAGATAAATTATGTCCACACACGGTTTGCTAAACACCAATTCTCCTACTTGTCTTCCCAAATTTACAATAAAATAAATAAAACATTACAGATATACCCAATGACATCAAGGGAAAGTAAAAAACAACTTACCGTATGGCTGAAGTGTCTGGACTAAAACGAGACTGAAGAAATCCTAAAATGGTATCGTCAAATTTTTCGATCTTACCTACTACGTATCTTACGTAATAATAAGAAAATATGAACTGGTGTTTTTCATCAAAATATATAAAAAGGTATATATATATATATATATATATATATACATATACATATACAAGAATTGCTCGTTTAAAGGATAAGATAAGGCGTTTGTATAGTTATAACATTTTTGTTAAGGAAGAGTGGCTCCCTCTGGCACAGGTGCTTCTGTACCTAATAGAGGAAGTCGACATTTAAATTGAAGAAAAAAAAAAACTGGATCGAATAAACATCTATTTTATTTATTTTATTTTTATCTTGTAAACAAATAATCGTCGAATATTTTGCATGTTGCTTCGCACTTGAGCATATTGGCACTGAGCATATTGGCGCCGACATCTACAACACCCCATGGCTGAAAAAATGTGAGCCCCGTTTACCTCACTCACCAGACGAATGGCGAAAGTTTTATACTTTCATTCAACGCCGGCCTGTGAGCCCGTGGTACTCCCGGACGAGCCTGCGTGATTACGTTCACACAAATCTATATAGTGTGTCATTATAAAGAAACGCCTCGGACCTATCCCAAGCCTAACCTCGACATCCTGACCGCGTCAGGCAATCGATATCTGCACTAGGGGGTTAGAGTTACCGACATCGATAGTTGGCCGCGTGTAAGGCGACACTAAACGGAAGGACTGCCGGCGATCGGGCAAGTGTTGTATAAAATTTTAACTGCGAGACGTTTAAAATGTTGCCGCGCCTCGCCACCTCGATAAGTTATCTTCAGACCATAAAGACAACACTATCTTGTAGTTTAACGCCGCGGCGGTGAGTCGGTGCTATTTATGTGGTCTTCCTAAACGTGACATATTCAGAACGGATGACCAACATTTACTTACCATAATACAGACCTTTGTTGCATCACAGAGAGATCTTATTGCAGCGTTTAGGGCTAAACTTCGAATACACAATGAATATTAAGTTGATCAATTGCTAAATAATGTAGTAACTGTAGGAACCAACTTAAAGCTGTGATGGATAACTTAGTATTCAACGTAACGTAACGTAACGTAAAAGCATTATTGTGGAATTTAAACTGAAAATAAACTTGTTTCCAACTAAAACAATTCTACCGATTTAAAAGAAACGACTTATGACATCAAAATTTGCTCAATTGGGTTTGACTGCTCCATACAACTCGAATATAATAACAGAATTAATTGTTACCCTAAATTGATTGTACGTATTATAGGCAGTACACAGCGAATTTCAGCGAATTTTATGTTAATGCTGTTAATTAATATTGTAAAACAATGCAAACGTTTAGCGTTCTATCAAAAGCGGTGACCTTTGTTATATTTAACAGGTTGTTAAATCATAACGTTACGATATTCAGCTTTATACAGCGTGTCTTTACAATCACGAAAATAAATGACAACACACATAGAGGATAACTTTTTAAAATTGTATTAAACATTTACATTCTTTAAACATCAATATTTACCGAGTTATTAAATTTTCCAAAACAAAAAATTTTAGAACATCCTTAAGTATAAAACTGTAACGTAAAGTTCATTAGTAAAGGTCACAAAGAATATGAATGGGTTGAGTGAATTTAAAAGAGACAAAACATACTGTTAGAAGGAGAGGCTTGTAATGCGACGATGTGGCAACGAATGAAAACGTCTCTGAATGTATGAATCAGTCAGTTGTACGTTGTATAGGTGTTACAAATTTTGTTTCTTTTTTACTTAATTATGTATTTCTTTTAACGTTAAAATTTTTTTATGATTATTGGTAAGTAGCGTTAGTCGTGTGTTCATTTATTGTTGCCGTTGTAACGACACGCTGTATATCCGTATCAGTAGAAAATCCAACTTGCGGTTTTTCAAAGTGCTACCATCGAGAGTACAAACGGAGTATTTGCGCCCGAGTTGCTTGGATATCGCCGCGGGCCTCGATGCCACTCGTGACGTCATCGCCGTGCCCACGCGTGGGGCATTGAGGTAGGGCAGATGCCGGCCTCCGGCCTAAGCCCAGCGGAGGTTCAACGGCCGGGTGAACGACCCCCCGCCCGCGACCTCCACACATTTTTACGGCTTGCGCCGTGCCGGCTTGGCGTTGTAACAGTTTTGACGCATGTGCGAATTAATCTTGCGTCGTGACGCCGCCTGTTTGTTTTATTTTTTCTTCACCGTTCATCACCGCCGTGGGGTCATGTTAACCGCACGCGGAGCCAATCGTGGCAGTTGTCTGTCGAATCGCCCGCTGAAAAAGCCTCAAGTGATGACTTGAAGACTGCTTGAATATAAAATACATCTGAATTAGTTGACCCGTACTAAATCATGGCACAGTACCGTGATCAGACACCGAATGGTAATAAAACGCGTAAATAAGCATAAATCAATGAAAGGTTATTTTGAATAATGACGTTATTCAGTATACTTCGTTATCTTTCATGTAAACAAATTGTCGATATATTATCATAAAAGATATCATACGTTCTTTATATGATTTTTTTTTAATGAAAACATTAACTTTATTCTACTTGTCAAAATGAAGTTTGTGTCATTTAATTTAATGAAGAATTATGAAAGTTACGGCGTGTACTGAGGTGAAAACACTTCTGTAATAATACATAATATGGACTGGCGAAAAAGGCTGTAAAAATTTCACGAGGGCTCATTAAATAATTGTACCAAATTACGTGCATATGTTGAAATTAAATACGTCAACGCTGTGAACACCTACTGAGCTAAGCAGCCTGATATTTAGGTCCCGACTTTCCCGGAGAAACTTGCCTACTTTATCCAACGGTCCATCCATCATCGCGTAACGCATCCAAAGCGCATCCAAACTGAACTCCATTTCCTTCTAATATCCACAAGTCAGCAGGTTTCCTATTAAAGACGTCGCTGGCGTATCGCGTGCTAAATGATCGAAAACGAATCGTATAAAGACTACTTAAACACTAGATAAGAGACACTCTTCGTCTAAGTTTTTAAACATTATGTCTTTTTTTTTTTAAACTTTGCCCTTACTTTATTACGTTATCCTGTGTTATAAGAACGTTTTACAAACATAAACTTCACGTGGAAAAACGCCCAGATGTGATACAACTATCTGTCGGTCACACAATTGTCCCATGTAGGAATCAAACCCACGACCCCCGATGCCGAAGGAAGCCAATACCTCGGCAACTGCGCCATGCATTTAAATTGAACTAACGAGATATGTCGTAAAAGGAATTCGACGAAGCTATTGTTGTAGAATTATGAAACCTGATTACAGAGTTAAACTATTCATTATAAAATCGGTGTGTTTTATTTTCATTATTTATGTCTTTGCTTGTATAAATAACGGCCAAGTGCGAGTCGGACTCAAGCAGGAATTACCACTGTACCATTATATATAAAACGGCAAAAACTATGTTTGTTCTATGGGAGCCCTCCTTAAATAATTTTTTCTGTTTTTTAATATTTGTTGTTATGGCGCCAACAGAAATACATCATATGTGAAAATTTCAAATGTCTAACTATCACGGTTCATGAGTGACAACAGCCTGGTGACAGATGGACAGACAGACAGCGGCAGTCTTAATAATAGGCTCCCGTTTTACCCTTTGGGTACGGAACCCTCATAATGAATGTTATTGCAGTAGATGTTATGCTGTGTAATCTATATGTACACTTAAAAACATATACACTTAATATTGAAAATATTGTTTTTCGTTACATAATTCTAGAATGTGCATTATTATCATTTAGTACTATTTAAATAAATACGACGGTCGGCGTTGACTTGTTCGACAGTGCGTTGTTTCGACGAGTACCTATTTCGTATTTTTTTTTTTCGAGTATAAAACTCGCGCGTGCTGCGCGCGTTGAAATTTTCGTGACACTTACCGAGTAATCGCCTTCATAATGATGTACGTTCATTCATGGGACCTGGACAGATGGGACGGCGGCGAAACAACTGGCCACAGGGCAGAGCGTGCATCCCAACAGCTGGTCCTACAGGCAAACCCCCCCCCCCCCCCCCCCCGTTCTCCCTACCCCGCTCACTACGACGATTTTCTCGAGTTGTACATTACGGTTCTCTACACTGGCCATTACGCGTGCACTTTTGATGTCTTCGTATCGTTTAATAGTTTCGAATCGCTTTATAGGATAAGTTACTGTAAACAAATAAACAATATAAACAAACTCAAAATCGGTTCAATCCCAGCATAGTTAGCGACGTATAACCACTGGGCGGTGTCTATTTTTCATTTCCTACGAAACTTTGATTGTAAGTCTTACGTGCTATTTGTGTTACTTTCCTTATATCTTCGCCCACAACAATCGTCCGAAGACGTGAGCAAACATTAAAAAGTTGAAAACTTCACGTCGAAACAATAAATTGAATACCCAGTCTAGATCATATTATGTGAAAGGCATTTCCTAAAACGCTTCGCGTTTACGCTGACAGTTTATCTTAAGAAGGCGTTGGGGGAACAAAAGGAATACTTCAATTAATATAATATTGATAAAAATATGTTTTGGACTTAAAAAATAAATGCATTAAATTACAGACTAAAATTTGTAGGTAAAATGACGTAAAGTTTTCGCTGCTGCGGGAATATAATCCACGTCTTTCGGTATCGCGCCCAGACACTAACCAGCTAAACGGCTGATTCCCACACCGACGAATATTTCTACGTCTTTTATAAACATTGTTTTTTTTTTCGAATTTTAAACAATTTTACATTTTTTTTTTAATTTGATAATTTTAATATGTCATCTTGAGTGCAAAGGTAAGCACGATAAAAATAATCAAATTTCGAATACAAACGACAGAATAGAATAACCCAGTAAACTAAAATGTATGACAATGTTTTGTTTTCCTTAATTTAGTTTGCGTTTCCATCGTCCTCTATTCAGCACAGACTAGTTTCATAATCAGAGTTAAGATAACTCTTGAAATGTATGTTTCAAATAAGTGTCGTGAATATTAGATGAAACGCAAAATATATTTACTGTAATTTTCATCAGGAAATACTTCCTTAAAATATATATATCGACGTACATACTATGTCAAATAAATTTTAAACTAACCTTGTTATAGAATCGATTATTAATGTCATCACAGAATACCACATCCCAGAGTAATGCACAAATATGTATAGATTAGTATTTTCAACATCTTCCACCAATTTCCTAGATCGTAGCCTAACCCACAAAATCAGAGGCGCCTACGTTCCGTTCCGAAGTGAATGGGCTTGTACTAATCCAATACGCTTGCCTCCCGATTGCAAGCGGTGACGTCACCGCTTGCCATCGGTAGTCTTGCGCCTGCCAGTGAAGACAGGCTCATCCCGTGCATCGAACTCGATTTGCCGTCCCGCTCGCACGCCCGGCTAAACATTTCTATACCAGCGCCAACAGACCGCTCTTTGTTTATAGGAAGCGTCGGCTCGTACTCTCGGTGAGCTCGAACTCGCGCCAGCCCAATCGAGCGAAAGGCCGCCCTTTGGCCGATGATGAGTTATAAGGTAAGCAGCCCTACGCCCGGTTTCGGAAACACTGATCATCGTAATCTATGATTAGTTAACTTCAACGATGATCAGTGTTCAGAAATCGGGCGTTAGTCACCCAGCACACACAATCCACCTGATTATTGCGTAAAACAGAGAACTTAGTAAAGCAGTGAACACGTAGCTTGTACGCCAGACATGATGTCTACGATTGTATTGTTTTATATTTCCTGAGTGTAAAAATCACCATTTTAGTCTTGTGCACGCAACGCCAGCTTACTCACAACTAGTTAAGGAATTAATAAGCTCTGACACAAACTGACAATGGCGGAAATTTATTGCTTTGAGAGACAGACTGGAGTCTTTTAGTCTACTTATGCTTCATAGACACGATAGATGATCATAGTAGTGACAATATTAGAGCTTATACGTTCCATAGCATAGACAAAGCCGCTATAAATTGTATAAGATAAATAAGCATAGTCCACGCTTCAATTCCAAGCTTAAACACCTATAGTAAGAACGAGAAACGCTCCGTTCCTTCAGTTAACAATACTCACAATTAGTCTAAATTCGATAAGTAACAATGATAACATTTCTGTCTGCCGCCACAAAAACGTCAATCCCTCATCCACAGCACAGTTCCAGCCAAAGATTCGAAACGATGACGACTTCAATCGTCAAATACGCAGAGAAATGCCATAACTAAGTAACTCAGTCGTCGAAACGCATACGTACGCGTTTAGTACACTTTGCAATTTTTAAATTTCGAACGAGCGCAAACAACTGCTAATAACTTGGTTGCACTGTTCCCGACAATGATTTTTTAATAAAGATGACGCGTGTCCGTACTGCGCGGCGTTTAAAATTTGTTCCGCTTTACAATGTGTGACATATATAAACGAATGTTACACCAGTTTTGACTTCTTCAGTCACCGAAAGGTGCGCTAGTGTCATATCTACCTCGTATTTGTACATAATATCATTTTGATTTTGATTTTGATTTTGATTTTGACTTTTGATTTGGTTCCCGGCGCGTAGTAGTTTTCGTCTGGCGACGGTGCGTACCTCTGCAGTTGGTTTCAATGCACACATCGGAACGAAAGCCCGACGTTGCAAGGCCGCTACACGTCTCGTCGGCAAAGAACAATGGAATTGTAGAAAGGACACCCGTACGGGCCAAAGATTACGACACTTGTTGCATAATAGACCCGACATTGTGCTCTAGATAAGCCTGTCAAATCACTGCCAGTATTATTATATATTTAACTCTTACACAATGCATGTCTTTAGGCGAATTTAGAGCTGGAATATATGTTATGCGGAAATGTGCATTATAATTAGTTTTACTACCTCCTTATAACATGCTAATCTATAGACAAACAGCCCTTTAATAACAATAAATGGAATTTAAGTCTTTAAATTTATAGAAAAAAAATTGTTTGCATTGCAAAATAATGCGAGGAAACTTAGTTTACGCAAAATAATTATTTCTCAACTATAAAAAAAACATAATTATCCCTGACATTTAACTGTAATGTAAAAAAAATAGAATTAGTTTAATTTTGATATTTCT